TATGAATGACGACAGCAGGCAGAGAAGCTAGCTCTCAGCACTTTGACACTTTTCATAATCCATGCACCTTGACAATGGATTTTACAGGATAAAGAAAGTAAGTATTTATGATTGGTCGCGCTTAAGGGCAAGCGGGCTAACCCAGATTTCATGGGTTTCCGGAAATCTTGACCTACACAAAAAGTGGACATTACCCTACCCGTAGGAGAAGTTTGGTTTCTTTGGTGTATATTTGTTTGGTTATAGATACAACTATCTTTGTCTTTTAAAGAAACTGAATAAGGGGCAAAAACTTTACCGTCGATTTTTCTCAAAACAGCATTTTTTTGGATAGCCCCCTTGAGCTTAAAAGCGACCAATTATTTGCTTATGTATGTATGTTTGTCTTTGTAATCCACATTGGCCCATTGGGATCAATTTTAAAAAATGTACATGTAATTTATTTGATTCGAACGAATATCGACCTGTATCTTCCCTTTCACCTCTCAATTCCTTATTTTTTCTTTCTTCAACAGCCGGTGAGCTTTGCTGTGTGTTCTGTTGTTCTCCCTGAGACTGGCCAGGTCAACTTGAGCCAGACTGTCCTCCCGGCAAGCTCACTACGTCATCAAAAACACTCTGCTGCAGACGACGACTAGCGTCACTTTCAATTTTCTCAAAACGAAGCGGCGTCTCCTGATTATCCGATACTGCTTGGCTTCCATTGTTTATTCGGTACTGTATATACTGGATACTTTTGGCTTCCACTGTTTATTCGATATTACCTGTATTCCACGGGATAAGCCTACTGGATCTTGTTGGACCTTCTTCGAATTACTCGGTCAGCGCTTGTAAGTCTTCGTGAACAAACTTTGATTATTATCTCTTCTTTCGGATTACTACTCGATTGTACTCAGACGGATACAAAATTTGTCCCTTCAGTAGAAATGAGTGGTATCGGTTCGAGCTGGCCGCAGTAATGATCGACATCGACTCGGCTGTGTGTACCCGGATATCCGCGCTGTCGACTTGAGTTCGCCAGCCCTTTCCCTTCGATGTCGAATCGTAAGGGTTCGCTGTCTGAGCCAGCCCCAGCCGACACCGTCGCCGCCCCGCGCCCTCACGTCTGCACGGGCGTACCCTTGAGCTGACCTTGACCTCGAAACAATGTGAGTACATTAATCATCATCATCATCATCATCATCATCGTCATCATCATCATCATCATTGTGTACGGCAGATAGTAAAACGGTTAAGACCTTTTAGTATTTCCAAAAATGCAATCACAAGTTCAACATTTCGCCCTCAACGGGCTTCATCAGGAACATTCAAAATATAATAATAATCATCATCATCATCATCATTGTTGTCGTCGTCGTCGTCGTCGTCGTCGTCGTCGTCGTCGTCGTCGTGGTCGTCGTCGAAAACCAAGACGATTAATTTAAAGTGTTTCGTCTAGCTACATTCGATACTGTAAGCGATTACACCTAGTTAAACTGAAACAAAAGAAATATATATATGATATAGTTAACCGCTTGTCACTTTTCCCTGGTTGCTGTTCCTTGGTCGCTGTTCCCCCGGTAACAATGGCGTCAAAAGTCGCTCTTTTTAACTGAAACAAAAGAAATAGAACTGTTAGTTAATTTTCCCTGGTCGCTGGTCGCTGGTCCCTGGTCGCTATTCCCTGGTCACAGTGACGTCAAAAGTCGTTTCTTCCCCGGCGGGGTCAACTGAAGCAGTAAGGAGAGTAAGGGCAATCGGTGAACACTTACGCATCAAAGTGAGTCATTTGGCGCGGACTCGCTGTGACAATGACAAAGGTACACTGTCTGATGGAATGGTGTATACCACTCAGGACAAGGGGGCTCGCGTGGTCAAGAGGTTACGGTGTTTGCCTCTCATTCAATAGGTCCCTGTTTCGAATCCGGATAGCGACGGAAAATTTTGGCGAACTATCTATCTATCTATCTATCTATCTATCTATCTATCTATCTATCTATCTATCTATCTATCTATCTATCTACGAGTGTCTGTCTGTCTGTCTGTCTGTCTGTCTGTCTGTCTGTCTGTCTGTCTGTCTGTCTGTCTGTCTGTCTGTCTGTCTGTCTGTCTGTCTGTCTCTCCCTCCCTCCCTCCCTCCCTCCCTCTATCCCTTCAACCCCCCCCCCCTTTTCTCTTTCTCCCTCACTCACCCTCTCTCTTTATCTATTTCTCTTTCTGTGTGTGTGTCTGTCTGTCTGTGTTTGTGTGTGTGTGTGTGTGTTTTCGTGTGTGTGTGTGTGTGTGTTTGTATGTGTATGTGTGTGTGTGTTTTCGTGTGTGTGTTTGTATGTGTGTGTGTGTGTGTGTGTGTGTGTGTGTATGTGTGTGTGTAAGTGTGTGTACGTGTGCGTGTGCCTCGAAGGAGGATGAGGGCTTACAGTCAGTTTGCTTATAAACCAACCACCCAAACACTACGGGTGACTGAGGGCGCCACTGGAATTTCCTACTTCCTTTCTTTCCCTTGGTTGTTTTTGTCTGTCTTGCTCACTCCACCACTAAATAACCAGCTTTGTGTCGATCTGTTTCTCTTTGCCTATTTACAAGTAAAATTTAATGAAGAAACAGGACACCTTAATAGAACGTACATTGAACCACAGCAGATGATATTTATCGATGGTGTAACGGAACGAAAGAACGAAATAGGTGAACTCTTTTTTTTCCTTTCTTTTCTCTTAAACTCTTTTTCAGGTCGATTTGTAGTTCTAAGAAAGAAAAACAAACAAACAATAAACAGTCTTGTCTGACTTAATTATGTTTTTAAAATGTATAATTTTTTTGGTGTGCTAAAATTGTTTTCTAGAAAATAGTTAAAAGCATAACACAATCGTTAGACTTCTTCGATTGACAGACTTCAGAAGCAGACATTGACGATCATATTCATTCTCTCTAGCTATGTTCTCTCCTTAGCTAGCTCGTCATGAGCGACTTAGCAGGTAGATATGTCCCCCCCCTTTTTTTCCACACACACACACACACACACACACACACACACACACACACACACACACACACACACAGATGGGGAAAAGAGAGAAAAAAGAGAAAGAAAAAGAGAGAGAGAAAAGAGAGAGAGAGAGAGAGAGAGAGAGAGAGAGAGAGAGTACCGTACAAAGCTTTGAAATAAAATATATTTTGGGTGTAAGTTGAGCTGTATAGATCTATCTGACAACTTCACAGAGCTTTGCAGGGCAAACTGTTTTTTATTTTGCATTATGTTCACTTGGACAGTGATACAAATGTCTACAAAGTAGAAGAGAGATTTATGAAATTTAATTGTAGATTGTAACAAGAAAACAAGAGAAGACATCGCTAAAATTTTCCTTGATACACTGAATGAAAAAACCCCATTCCAATTACAGACTGCCGAGGCCAAGGCTACAACGGTAGCAACATGATGTGTGGTCTGTATAATGGTGCACAGTATCACATTTTAAGACAGTGTTCACTTGCCATATTCTCTCCCTGTGGCTGTCATAGTTTGAATTTGTGTGGCGTGCATTCTGAGGAAAGCTGTTCAATAGTCAT